AAGTATTTATTAATTATTTAAAATGTGGTAATTAAAAAAAAAAAATTTCTAAGAAAAACTGGAAAAAATTAAATTAAATAAATAAAGCAGCTATCTATCCAGTTGACGTCAAACTACAAGTTCTACATTCATTGGTAAATAAGAAGCCTTACAAAAATCATTGCATACTTTTGAGCTGTTCATTTAAGAATCTGAAACGCAGCCAACTACCCATAGATGACGCTATACCATCGAGCCAGAAGCGTGTAAAGGCAAGCCAATGCAATCATTTCTATATACATATCCAAAGTGAATAATAAATATGCTTTTTAATAAATATACTTTGATTGAATTTTATGCACATATTAAACTCTACCAGAGTATTTACTGCAACCAGTTTAAGGCGCCCAATAGACTGTTTCATAAGCATAAAAAATTATTTTATGCATAAGCGAAGCAAAAACAAAACAAATTATAACATTTGCATCGAGTCCTTTCTAAAAATAGTCGTTTATCTTATGCATAAATTAATGAATCCCTTTAGAGCTCCTACATGCACAAGCGAGTCAGCTAGGCCAATTATCCAGCTAGCCAACAAGCCAGCCAGCATGCGTGCAGAGCGTGTTCACTAATTATAATGACAAATCGGCCAATTATAATGTCATGTCGTAAATTTCCAAAGCCCGATCGATCATGGCAACGACTGGAATATTGAATAAAAGTGCTCGTAAATTATGAAAAATGAATGTGGCACAGAACAAAGGGGCGCACAAAAGCTGCAACGTTTTAGTTACAGTTGCAGTTGCAATTAACTGCATATCGAGCAGGACACTTGTTCCGCATCGAGCTAACGAAAATTGCAAATGCAGCAACTGAAGCTTAAGGCAACAGCTGAATGCAGGTGAAGCTAAGCCTGAAGTCAATTTAATGAAGCCAAGCACTGGCCACAGAGCTGTCAGAGAAGCAATCCACGCGCCACGCCCACCACATTAAAAAGCAACTAAAAAGGACGTGCGGGCGTGCTGCCAGCGTCATTCAACCTGTCAGAGCTGGCAGAGTCAGGTAGAAACGTGTAGCTTTCAGATTTATGGCAGACACGCACTGTCGCACGCCTCCAAATACAGATTCCGCACAGATATCCCCAGCATGAGCCCCGAAGCAAACGTGCCCGCTTAACGTTCATCATGGCACAGACACTTTGCAGGCACTGTTCTGTGGCCGTTGCATTGTAAATTATTTTCGCAGCAGAACTGTTTACTCTGCATGCCAGACAGGAGCAGGGGCAGCGTGGGGCAGCTAGGGAGTAATTGCCACAGTTGCATACAGTTCAGATTGTGGCTGCAACGGTATATATGGGAGAAAATGTATAAGGAGGCTATATAACCCGTTCCCTTAGCTGTCCATCAGGCAGCTGACCGCAGAGGGCACGGCACAGCATCATCTTAACATTTACACCAGTCCTACTCCGGTCGGTCTGCCCCTCTCTCTCTCTCTCTCTCTCTCTATCTCAGGCATTCTTCGCATTAACAACAAACTCTGTGCGGCACATTCTCTTTTCGCCAAGTTTATGGGCACAGCGTGCATAGTGTTTCACACAGATTGCGTCTACGATGCTGGGCCATCGGGCAACGGGCAACGGGCAACGGGCAACGGATGGCCCCCTGATTGCCGGCCAGCGATAAGATGACATACCAAAGCTCTACAATCTCCGTTTGTCTTCTTCTTCTTCGTCGTCTTCTTGCGGCTCTTCTGGCTCTATATTTATAAATAGCTACGGCTTGGCGCATGCAATCAGTGGAATATTTTTATTTTAGGCCAACCATTCGCCGTTTGCAATTCCCAATCCCTCAGAGGCAATAAAAACCAAATGACGACACGCAGACGCCAAACATGCCCGGCCGACCGCAAGCAAGGCCGTTCAGCGACCTTCAGCTGGTATTTACAGCTCACAGGTCCAGATGCTGGCTTTAGGTCCTGTTCTGCATTTATGGGGCCCGTTGTGCATTGCCCCTTGCCCGCCGCCGGCCGTCTTCATCATGATCAGCACTATCCGCTCCGCTCACTTGCTACGCTTTTTGTATTGTAACAGATCTGTTAACGAGCTCTGTCTCTGGCACTCGCACTGGCTCAGGCACTGGCTGGAGCACTGGCTCTTAATTGACCAAATGCATATATAAAAGTCAGAGCCCCTGATGCTCAGCTCTTTTATCCTTAGCTGTTTCCGCAATTCGTTGTCCCCATTGTATGATTGTTCATCTTGTTGTTGTTGTTGTTGTTGGAATGAAGCATCATCCCTTTGTCACTTGCTCATATCAATTAAAGTTTAATGATAATGTCGCGAGTGTCGGTTACCGATCGCCGTTGGCCGCATGTTTGTAATCAATTTTTAATGGCTATTTACATTGCGTGGACCAGTTTGCCCCTTTGTGTTGCAGCAGCCCCCTGTGGGGCGCTCATTAATTATAGCGAGCATATACTTCAGTTTAGTGTTCTTTATTGATGTACTTCATTTATTTTTAGTTGTATGTGTACATGTATATACTTTTTGTGTAATCTTTCACATTGTAAGTTACTTAGGCGCTAGTTAGGATAGTTTATGCATTTAAGTGCGTACGTGCTGTTGGCCCAAATCATTGGAACTTGGCCAAGTTGGTTATATGAATTAAATTATGGCAAGTTGCTAGGTAAAATTTTGCGATTGTTTCCATTTAAGTGTAGAGTTTAAATAAGTTTATATTAAATTATAATACCAACAACTACAATAAATTAATTAAAACATTAGCTAAACATTTGTAAAATTGAGTAACACACATACACACACACAGACACACATACACGCACACACAGAGCTCAAAATACACGCACACTTGCTGTGGGGGAATGTAGGATAAAGTAGGACAGAGAGTTGTGGCCGTGGGTTGACAATCTAACTATGAATACTTAAGACGCAATGACACCAGATGAAAATGTTATTCAATTAGATCAGATTAATCGAGCGAAAACCGATTGATACTTTCAAATAAGATGTATTATTTCCTAGCAATTCGAGTTGACAAATAAGGGAGTTGGCGCAAGAGTAAAAGTTTATGAAAGCTGTTGAAAAAGTACATTAAAGCTTTTGAGTATTTGATGCAGACTTCTTAATGTTCAACTAGTAACTAGATATTAAATTATCTGAATGCTTGCGAATCAAGTGGCATATTCCTTTCACTCCAAACAACTGAACCGACAAAAATCAGTTGATTGTTCGATTGCGACTTTCAGCTGGTGTCATTGTGATTGTATGAATGAAGGCTAGTTAATATTAATTTAAGCTACGCTAACTACAATACGACTTGGATCACATGTGTATGAAATGAATTGCCGCTGCAGCTGTGGCAGCTGAAGCAGCTGAGGCAGCAGCTGGGGCAGCTGAGGCAGCTGGGGCAGTTGGGTCAGCTCGGTCAGCTCGGCCAGAGTACAGCTGTGACTGTGACTGCAACTGCAACTACTTGAGCTTCAGAAATGTCAACAACGCCTTTTGTATCAAACGACGATCAATGGTCGAGTCGGCGGTATAACGCACGCCGCTCAGGTTGCCATCGTTGTGGTCCACGACGCCATATTCGCCAACGATGAAGCCGTCGTCGGTTTTCTCTTCGACGCGATATTTGCGATAGTTGCGTCCCTCCACCACATAGGCGACTTTATCTTCATCCGACTCATCTGCGTTGCCCCTGCCCTCAGCATCTTCATCCCCGCCGCCATCATAGTCGTTGGCATTTGCGTTGGCGGTGTACACCACCGAACCACGTCCCCTGTCTCGGCCACGATTGCGGCCGTGTTGCGTTGTTGTTGGTGTTGTGGCGGCAGCAATGGATGTTGCTGGTGTTGTGCTCGCTGGACTGGCTGGTGTTGTGGCTGTGACCAGTGCGCCGCTGCCGCTGCCACCTCCACTGCCGCTGCTGCTGCTGCCACCCTGCAGTCCGTGGGCTCGTCCGTTTGTCATAACACTAACGGACTCTTCAATTTCGTAATTTTGCTCTGGGGTCGGTGTGTAGAGCTCGGCGCGTTCGGTTGTAAAGTGTGGCAACATGGTCTCATCGTCAGTTGGCGCTGCGGACGCGGAGGACGAGGATGATGAGCTGCTAGAGCTGGAACTATATGAATAGGCGCTAATGCCGGACGCTGCTGCGGGCGATGCGTGCTGGTGTGCAAATTTGGAAACACACTTGACTAGATCTGCCAGCAGAGAGAGAGAGAGCAAAACAAAGAGAGAGAGAGAGAGAGAGAGAGATAGAAAGAGAGAATAAGTTCAAGATTAGTTAAACGTGCGTTGGTCTCTCATAATTACACTGTGCTGCAGAGTTGCCGTTTGGGGTTAAGCTCCAATCGAATCTGATCGTTAGACTAATTGTAGATTCATAAATTATGCCAGCATGCAGCGAGCTAACGCAACGCCCAACTAAATAGTTGCTACTCGACAATGCTAAACCTGCAGCACAGTGTAATTTGTTTTGGGCAAAGACTCACCTCTATTGGGCAATCCTTTGGCATTTTGATTAGAATGTTGAAGCGACAGTGATGGATGCTGACGTTGCTGTTGCTCCCAACATGGACGATGATGTTGCTGCTGTTGCTGCTGTTGCTGGTAGTCGCTTGGAATTGAACTCTTTGATAAAATTGGCTCCAATAGATGGCGCGCTGGCTGCGGCTGCGGTGCATTCAATAAATCATAAGGTAATTTATCCAAATTGAAGAGTACACGACGCGGCTGCGAATTGCCCGCACTCGTTGCAGTCTGCTGCTGTTGCTGGTGGTTGTGGTGGTGGTGGTGGTTGTGGTGCAGATGCTGATTGTGACCATTGTGATAATGGTGCTGCCAAGTGCTTGGCCTAGTGGTGGGCAGCGTGCTGCTCGTTGCAGTCTTGGATTCCATGGATCTGCTTGTTGTTGTTGTTGTCGTTGTTTGCGCCTCGCCGAATGCAATCCGCGAGACAATTGCTGGCCGACGCGAGGGCACAAAGGTGGTGGGAGCCAGAGCGCCCGGTGGCACAGTTGCTGGCCCTGGCGCTGCTGTTGTTGTCGTTGCTCCCGTTGTTGATGTTGACGATCTTGTTGTGGTGGGCGAGCTAGTCGTGCTGAGACCAACTCCGACACCGACGTCGACGCCGACACCTACACCAGCACCGGTACCGGTACCGGTACCGGTACCCGTCCCAGTTGTTACAGTTTGCGGCCAGTAGGTCTTGGCGGGCTCTCCATAAACCTTAGCTGGCTGCGAGTAAACTTTCGCTGGCTCTGAGTAAAACTTGGACGGTTGGCCATACACTTTGGCCGGCTCCGAATATACTTTTTCTGGCTGGCCATACATCTTGGCTGGCTCTGAGTAGACCTTGGCTGGCTCCGAGTAGAACTTGGATGGAACACTGTACATTTTCGATGGCACAGAATAGAATTTGGATGGCTCGGAGGCGAGACGTGGCATGGGCTTAAGACTGTCGCTCACGTTGCGCTGTGCCTCGGCCAAGATGCCAGCCGACTGGTGCCAGCTGCCCGGCACATGCAGATCGTCCACGTTCTGCGATATGGAGCTGTATGATATTGATCTTGACTGGGGTCCGTGACCCTGCTTTGTGTCGTGATAGATCACCGTCTGGAACGGCAGCAATTTGTCATCACCCACCGACTCATGAGTATTCGCCTCTGACGCCGACTCCGGATCGTTCGCTCTCTGATTTATGCGCGTGGCATTTCGCCCGGGGACAGAGCTGCCACGAAACGCCACCGAACTGGAGCGGCTGGWGGCGGCTGCCGCCAGCAATGGCGCCGCCAAAACGTTTTGTATATTGGAGGCACTGTTCACCGAGTCGCTTTCCGCATCCATGACATCGGCAGCGAGGCGTGGCTCAGTCTCCTCGATGGACAGCTCGCTCTTGTGCGAGCGATTGACAAAATCAACGCCAGCTGCACTTGGCGCACTGCTTCGGTGCGAGTGCGTCGCGGCGGGCTTGAAGGCGGGCGGCTGGGTGCGGCTGATGCGGCTGCCACGTTTACTGGAGGAGCTAACACTGACAGCGACCACCTTGACCTCGTCGCTGGACTTTGGCTTTGTGGTCGACGACGAGCCGGGTGCATCCTCCAGAAAGACAATCTTGCTGCCTGTGGTCACCAGCTTGACGACCTGCTTGCCCTCCGCGTCCGCTTGGTGCTGCGCATTGGCATTGCGGTAGCGCGTCTTGTGCTCCAAGCTTCTGGCACTGTTCAGGCGGCCGGCAGCTGCTCCCTCGAGCTCCTCATCGCTGTGCAGGCTGCGCTGCTGTTCGTCGTGATCGAGGAACAACTTGAGAAACTCATTGCCCGCAATGAGCTCACTCTGCCTGCCCGCTGATATGGGTGAAGCAACAGGGGCGGGGGCAGGGACCGGTACAGGGGCTGGGGCTGGGGCTGGTGCTGGTCGCGCATAGCCGCAGCACAACATCTGCAAGTTGAAATGGAAATGATTTAGTTATGTTCGTGTCAATTGCTTCACATTTCGCTTCAATGCGATTTTTATGCTAATCAAGTGGCGCATGATGCATTTACCCTACCTAGCTTATCTCAGCGATCTATTTATAAATTTGCGCAATTAAAACATCATTTGATCCACAGATTGAGAGAGGGACAGACACTTATGTGTGCCGCGAATGTCTTCTTGCCAGCTACGTATGACATTTGAATAATAATGTATTGGGTTTATTAAGACATCAGTGGAATGCGCTGCTGCGGCGGCGTTTGAAGTGCCTCTGGCTTGTGGAGCTTGTAAACAGCTGGACGGTGTCATAATTAACTGACAAGTGGCATGCTGAGGTGGATGCAATTGGCAGCTAATGAAGACTATATGGAAATGAATTACAATCGATTCAGCTATCGCTCTGCAATCTGTGTAGATCATATCAAGCGTCGATATCTTTGAATTTACTGCAGCTCGAAGCATTACTTATGAGATTATCGATTTGATTATGATCTAATATAATATATGAATCCCATTTAAAAGTCTTTAGCTAAACGACTTAACTTTCATTGAGCTAATACATATCAAAACGCTCATAGCTCGATGAATTCAACGAATACCTGAACGACACAATATAAGAGTCAAATATCGGCGAATTATGACTCAGCGAGAGTCCAATTTCGTTACCTAGACAGCAGTGAATCTTTGGGAAAACCCAAACATAAAGGTCAACCTAACAGCTGGATATTAGCATGACTCGTTCAGGATATTAACATGAAAACAAGATTTGTTCAGCTTTGTTGCTATCATTATTGTTATTATTATTATTATTATTGGGTCAAAACCATTAGCGATTACTAACAATTTAGCTTTGACCTTCCGCTTACTCATAAAATATGATTTGCTTCGTCTAGTGCATATACTGTACTTGAGCCAGGCATAAATCAAATGAATGCAGCTCCAAATGCCGCCCTCTCGCAGACGTTTAACGCCTCACAAAAACAAAAGACTTAGGACACGAACTTGCCCTGCAACAGACGTCAACAGTGCAAAACGTATTTATTGCATTTGGCGAAATCAGCATAACTAATTGTAATCGAGATAAAGCACATAAAACACGACTAGGTCATAAAATCAAATGCGATTGGAAAGGCGTAAATTGAAAACGCAAAAAAATACAATAAATTTGTTTTTTTTTTATTTATTTATTT